AAATATATATATTTAAATACATCTGAATTTATATATCCATAGTCCATTAAAGAAACATTTCTCTAATATTAGGTTGTTGAAATTTCAAAATTTACTATTTGTGAATGTGCATAGCCATTGAGCATTTGTGTGGTTTTACATTGCCTGTAGCTGCTTAGAACCTACTGCTACTGCTACTGCTACTACTATTGCAGTCACCATTCATTACCTGTTGGATTCAAGTGGTGCCTGGTGAGCTACCTGCAGAAAAATCTACCTTTCTTCCCCCAGGCTTCTTATCTCCAAGAGCTATCTGATCCAGGGAGTGTGGATGATCCAGGGAGTGTGGATGATCCAGGGAGTGTGGATGATCCAGGGAGTGTGGATGAGCCTGGGAAGTCCATCAAAACTAAGACAAGAGCTATCAAATCACAATCCTATGAACTAAGATAAGTAATGTTTCCACACAGGAGTGGGGATGGGGAGCTTTTGTCTTGCTGGCTGAGAGGAAACATTATAGTATAAATCTGGTTATAAAAATCGTAAGGAAGTGTAAAGGGCACCTCACCACTCTCTGATACCAAACTTAGACTTAAAGCCCTGTATCATTCAAATGTAGACTTTCTCTTAATAGCGAGCAGAAACATCCATCCATCTCCTGTGACCCTGCATTAACTTTACTATAGAATTTTTTTTTAGGAAGGAGTCAACCCTATTTCTTCTTTTTATTTCCTTATTGATTAAGGTATTACATATGTTTTCTATCCCCCCATTGCTCCCCCACCCCCCACCCCCACTCATGCCCTCACCCCCTGGTGTCTGTGTCCATTGATTAGGCTTATATGCATTCATACAAGTCCTTTGGTTGATCTCTCCCCCTTACCCCCACCCTCCCTCACCTTCCCTCTGAGGTTTGATGGTCTGATCAATGCTTCTCTGTTCCTGGATCTGTTTTTGTTCATCAGTTTATGTTGCTCATTATATTCCATAAATGAGTGAGATCATGTGATATTTATCTTTCTCTGACTGGCTTATTTCGCTTAGCATAATGTTCTCCAGTTCCATCCATGCTGTTGCAAATGGTAAGAATTCCTTCTTTTTTTACCGCAGCATAGTATTCCATTGTGTAGATGTACCACAGTTTTCTAATCTACTCATCAGCTGATGGGCACTTGGGCACTTAGGCTGTTTCCAAATTTTAGCTATGGTGAATTGTGCTGCTATGAACATAGGGGGGGAATATATCCTTTCTGATTGGTGTTTCTAGTTTCTTGGGATATAGTCCTAGAAGTGGGATCAATGGGTCAAATAAGAGTTCCATTTTTATTGTTTTGAGGAAACTCCATACTGTTCTTCACAGTGGCTGCACCAGTCTGCATTCCCACTACTATAGAATTTAAGTCCACTAAACAAGCTTCCTTAACAGTGTTGCCCAATTCAGGAGAGAACCAAGAACAAAAGCAGAGATTTCTGGCTAAGAAAGCAACTTTGTATCTTTGCTCCCTCCAGTTTGAATGCAAAGGCAAAAAGGAGTGTTAGGAGTGGGGATAATAGGTGCTTAGCTCACTCCATGTCTCAAAGGAAGGTGTTCTCTACACAAGGCAAGAAAGCTCTGAGCACTGGAGCTTGTGCAAGGACGCTCCTTGGGAACGCCATGGTCAGGTTGCAAACTGGCAGCTCTTGTCCCTAACTGCGGAATAGCACATGTGGCTATCAGTTCCTGCTCCTCCCCCACCAACTTCTCTTTCCTCTCTGCCCTGTGTTTTCATAAAGTTTTCTTTGGGCACTACCTTTAAATCCCTTCTCTGCCTCATCTTAAGAGATTTATAAATTTATATTCTTATTACGTATTCATGAACCCTAACTATTACAAACGACATCGTATTTTATCATCTTTTATGCACAACAATGCATATCCATAACCATTTTGTTGTTGTTGTTGTTAATCCTCACCTGAGGATATTGTTCCCTTGATTGATTTATTTGTTTTTTTAGAGAGAGTGGAAGGGAAGGGGGAGAGACAGAGTGAGAGAAACATCTATGTGAGAGAGGCACATTCATTGATTGCCTCTCATATTCGAGAGGTACATGCCCTTGACCATAATCCAACCCCGGACCCTTCAGTCCAAGGGCTGATGCTCCCATTGAGCCAAGCCAACACGGCTAGGGCCATAACCATTCTTGAACTGGGGAGGGGATCATTATAAAATGTCACAGATAGTCTGAGGAGTGGGCAAGATTTGGGTAGGTGAGAGCTTTTTAATGTTTTTCAACTGTTGTGGTTAATAAATTATATCTTATAAAAGACTCTATAGATGACATTAAATTCTCCTTTTCCTCTTTTAATAAAATTGAAAATATTTTTATCATCATTCTAATAAAAATTCTTCCAACACATGAGCACTTTTAAAATGATAGTCCTTAAGCATTGATGTTAAATAGACCTAACGAATT